TTATATCAGTATTTTACTGCTTCATAAAATATATAAGAATATCTTACTAGTTTGGCTCCATTGTCCTCTCTCACAGTTTTTTGTTGTTATTGTCAAAAGTTTTACTTTTGCATGTTATATATCCCATAAAACAGTGATTTTATTGTTGCTTAAAGCAACTGATAATCTTTATTATTATTATTATTATTATTATTATTATTATTATTATTATTTTGAGACAGAGTCTCACTCTATCGCCCAGGTTGGAGTGCAGTGGCACAATCTCAGCTCACTGCAACCTCTGACTCCTGGGTTCGAGTGATCCTCCTGCCTCATCCTTCCAAGTAGCTGGGATTACAGGCATCCACTACCGCACCTGGATGATTTTTGTATTTTTAGTAGAGACAGGGTTTTGCCATGTTGGCCAGGCTGGTCTCAAACTCTTGAGCTCAAGTGACCACCTGCCTTGGCCTCCCAAAGTTCTGGGATTACAGGCATGAGCCACTGGGCCCGGCCTAAGTAACATAATCTTTTACATTAACCCACATGTTTATACTCTCTTGAGTTGTTCATTTCTTTTTGCATTGCTGTGCTGCCAGAGGGATTCACTTTTGTTAATTTTGAAAACTTCCTTTAATATTTCTTGTTGTTCAGGTTTTCTGGCTCCAAATATTTCAACTTTTGTTTTTCTAAAAACTTTTTTTAAATTCAAGTTTTTATTTGTAGGTAATTAGAGATTCACATGCAGTTGTAAGACATAAGACACAGAAATCCCATGTATTCTTTTCCCAGTTTCCATTAAGGTCACATTTTGCAAAACTAAAGTGTAAACTCACAACCGGGATATTGATATTGATACAGTCGAGATATAGAATATTTACCTTGTCTTAATGAGAATATTTTAATTTTGCCTTCATTTTTGAAATTGTTTTACTGGTTGCATGCCCCCACCTCCCTATACATGCTTTAGAAATGTTAGTCCATGTCTTTGGACTTTCATAGTTTCTGTTGTAAAATTAGCCCTAATTAGCCCAAATTCTTATTGTTTTTTCCCTGATGGGCTGATGGCAATGCCTAGGTCTCTCTCTCTCGTTCTCTTTTTTTTTTTTTCTCTCTCTCTCTCTCTCAATCTCCTTTTGGGTGTGTGTGTGTTGTACAGTGTGTGGCTGTGTGTGTGTGTGTATAAGTTAAGCATCCCTAATAAAAAAATCCAAATCTGAAATGAAATGCTCCAAAATATAAAATATTTTGAGCACCAACATGTAGAAAATGTCACAGTTTAGTCAAAATACAAGTGCACAACACAATTTATTCAGAATGCCTTTTCATTCCTAGAGGACCCACTTCCTGATCCCTCAGCTGCTTCTGATGTTTCTTTTCCCTAAAAAAATAAAATACAGTAGCCTTTTAATGAAAACACAACATCAAAGGTAGAGACTGCTAGCCTGCTGTAGTCTGTTGCTTAACAGCTGTTGCAGGTGCTCTGGTGATGCCACTGTCACCTTCAACACAGGATCTTTTCCACCATATTAATGGTCATACCTTTTACTGTTAAGCACTTATGTGTGAATAAGTGTGATAAAATGATTGATTATCTCTACTCTACAAATTCAGAGTCAGGAGTGATGGCGATACCGAACAAGCCTGGATTATCCACATGCGTGGCTGTGATAGTGACACCTTTGCTTTCAGATGGTTCAGTGTATACAAACCATGATGCACAAAGTTATTTAAAATACTGGATACAATTACATTCAGGCTATGTGTATAAGGTGAATATGAAACATAAATAAGTGTTGTGTTTCGATTGAGTCGCATCCCCCAAGATATCGTACGTGTATGTGAATATTCTAAAATTCAAAAAAATTCAAAATCCAAAACACTTTCGGTCCCAAGCATATCGAATAAGGAATACTCCATCTGTACGTATCTATATAGTCTCCTGCTGTGTTTTGATGTCTTTTCAAATATTGTTTCTGTCCTATTCTCTCTCCTCTTTTTTTTCTTCCAGGACTTTCATCACATTAATTGATTTTGGCTGTGCCTCATATATTCTCATGACTTGTTCTGTTTTCTTATTGCCTCTTTTCTCCCCTCTGGTGTTTCAGGCCAAACAGTTTCTATTGGCCTGCCTTTAAGTTTACAAATGTTATATTCTTCCCGATCCAATCTATTGTTAAATCACTCTAATGAGATCTTAATTTCAGAAATTACATTTTTCAGTTCTAGAATGTCCATTTAATTTCGTAGTTTCATATTATCTATTAAATATTCCATCATTTAATCTATTCTGTCCACCTTTTTTCTATTATTTTTAATATATTATTTTTGCTAATGTGCTTACATGCCAGCTCCAATAACTGGATCTTTTTTTCTTTTATTTTTTTTGAGACAGTTTCACTTTGTTGCCCAGGCTGGAGTGCAGTTGCATAATCTTGGCTCACTGCAACCTCCACCTCCTAAGTTCAAGCAATTGTCTTGACTCATCCTCCTAAGTAGCTGGGATTACAGGTATCTGCCACCATGCCACCATGCCCGGCTGATTATTTGTATTTTAGTAGAGACAGGTTTCACCATGTTGCCCAGGCTGGTCTCGAACTCCTGAGCTGAGGCAATCTGCCTGTCTTGGCCTCCCAAAATTTTAGGATTAGAGGCGTGAGCCACCATGCCCGGCCTGGATCATTTCTTTGTACACTTCCATTAATAATATTATCATCTGATTATCAATCATTTTTCTTGTCTCTGCATATGTGTATTATTTTTCAATTATATGTTAGACATTATGCATGACATGTTGTAGAGCTTCTGAATTATGTTACCTTCTTCTAAAAAATGTTGATTTTTTTTTTTGTCAGACAGGCAGTTCGGTTAGCGGCAGACTACTTTGCTCTTGTCAGACCTTTGTTGTAGGCTTTTGTGGAGTAGGATTACCTCGATGACTCCCTTTGTACCAGGATGTAGTTCCTATTCTTAGCATGTAATCATTACCGCTGGGGCATTGCCTTGTTTTCTGTTGTCATTGGTCACATTCCAATGCTTATCTTGTTGCCAAAGATAGGGTTTGGCTGGGCCCCAACCCCAGCACCTCTCCAGAGTTGTGTGATCTTAAAATCTCCATTCAGGACTCAGCCTCCCAGGAGCTCCTGTCTTCTAGGCCTCCTGGAACCTTGTTCTGTAGAAGTTTTCTAAGGACCAGAGGTGCATTTTGTGGAGAATATTTTTGGATCCTTCTCTGTGACTTACTTTTCTCTTTTAATCCAGCTCCAAAATCTCTGATACATTATTATTCCAAAGGTTTTATCTCTGTTTCTACCACCAAACTACTGTGCTCTGTCAGGCTCTATTTCCCCACATAGCTATTTGGAAAATGCTACAGAGAAAGGAGAAGTGAATACAGTGCTCACCTCATTTAATCTTTTCTCTCAAGAAGCATGGCTTAACATGACTGCTGTTCAGTGTTTACTAACTGTTGTTTTATGTATTTTGCTCAGATGTTTTTCTTGTGTATAGTGGAGAGATAAATCTGATACCAGGTATTCTGTCAAGGCTCTACAATTGATGTTTAAAGACATAGGGTTGGAGATTCCCAACAGAGTTAGTTGAAATAAAGAGTAGAAGAAAATTGAGGACCAAGCCTTGGGCCATTGCCATTAAAGAGTTCAAGGATTGGAGCAGGACATATCCAAAGAGATTGAGAAGACATAATCAGAGGAATCAAAGATAAACAGAGTGATGTTCTGCGAGCCAAGTGAAGAAAGTCTGTCAAGGAGAGGATGCGATCTATTATTCCAAGTGCTGCTGCTAGGTCAGGAAACAATGAGAACTGAGCATTAACAATTTGATGTACCAACTAAACCTATGTCCTTACACATCAGCTTCTGATTCCAAGATAATAAGCAATAAACCACATTCTTTTCATTCCTTGTCCTGTTCAGTTTGAAGTGTAGAAAGACGGCCAAATGCTAGAAAATGCCCATAGATGACTAAATAGATTTGAGGTGCAGAGTTACTAGAATAGATTGGGGATTCAGGTACCCACTGTCTAATTTGGAGATTAGTGTGGACAACCTTTTCTTTCCCTTTTCTCTACAGTTCATCTCAAAGAAAACCTGTGACAAGCATGGGTTATTTGGGGAGACAGTTTTTTATTAGACTCCATGAAAGCTATTTTGACTTTTCCCTGTTTTGTTCACTGGTATATCTCCGTCATCTAAAAGAGCACCTGGCCATAGAAGACACTCAACAAGTGTTAACTGAAATTTGTTATTATAATTGCATTGTTATTACTGTTGGGCTCTTTTCCAAGTAGGCCAATGTAGCTAGACTGTTGAATCCATCAGTTGGGTTACTAGTGATCCGTCTTTGCTGTTGCCTCAAGATTAACAAGCCACATAATCCTGGGGACTTAGATCTGAGTTAGATCTTTACCACCAAAGAATGCTGGCTAGCACAAATGGAAGAAGAAATAGTACCCATTTTGTCCTTTAATACCATGAGCAATTTTACTTCTTGTCTTCAAAAATTAAATTATTTTCTGTATGAGACAATACATTATTGCTATCTGTCAGGCAGGTGAGCAAAAATATCAGCTATAATTATGTTCATAGCTTCAGCTTTGGCATTCTAGTTAATCTGAAAAACACTCATTTTCCTAGGCGATGTTATGTAACCAGGACTTAGAGTCTGCCATGGTTCACTGTCAGGTTTTGTCCTACTTAAATTTCAGCAAGGAGTGTTACGTGACAACTGTGAACATATTGCTTTGCCCTGTGTCTGCAAGAGGGAGGCTTTAAAGAGTCTAACATTTGTCAGATGAAGCTATTATCAGAGGAAACTATTTTTAGCTTCCTGTTCATAACTCCATATTTCAGTTTTCAGGTGGTGGTGTTAATATTATGCTCTCTGTTTCAACAGAGAAGAGTTTAAGGATTGTCTCTCCAAACTGAGAAAATCAACATGACCCAGGCTGGAGTGCAGTGGTGCAATCCCGGCTCACTACAACCTCTACCTCCTGGGTTCAAGCAATTCTCTTGCCTCAGACTCCCGAGTAGCTGGAATTACAGGTATGTGCCACCAGTGATATGGAGAAAATGAACCACAACGTGGTCATTCATTCATTTAACAACTTTTAATTGAATCTTTAACACAAGAAGACCCACATGCTAGGAAATGGGGATACAGTGGTTTGCAAAATCTAGACGTGACAAGTTCCCTGATGCACACAATAGTCTAGTGGACAAAACAGACATTAATAAATTAAAAGAACACACAAAATAGTTAATCTTTCTGGAAACATATAAACTATGAGAGTTAAATGATTTGAAGCTTCAAGATTTTTAAGCTCCATCTGTATCTTCTGTAATAGTGTAAAATGATTTCAAATTACCACTCGTTTGCTGTTTCTAAATTATAGAATTATATTACGTTGCATCTGGTGATATATGTAATATATGTACCAAATGCGTGGCATTTAGGAGGTGAGCAACAGATGTCAGTTTTCTTACTAGTCTCTCTCCTTTGCCCCAGGAAAAAAAAGCAAACAAATAAAAAGTTGATGTTCTATCTAAGAGACTGCAAATCTCCGGCTGCTTGTAAAATTTTGGGTAATGTCCAACTTTTACAGTTGACTGTTTTAGCTTTGTCATGAAGAGGCCACTGCGTAGTTTATGTTACTCACAGGGTTGAAAATGCCTATAGCCTGTTTGCTTCATTGTAATGGAATTGAGACACAGGTCTTCTTTTTTTATGCCTTAAAAAAAAAAATTTCCTGTTGAGTGTTCCTCAGACCAGAATTGACTTCTGAAGGTCAATGGAGATATTTTGTGTGAAGTCAGAATTATTTACAAGAGTTTAAAAATCGATATTGATATTTTATCTATCTATTGTCTGTCTATGTATATGTGTACATATGTGAATGTCTTTATCTGCTTGTATACCTGTCTGTCTTTATATCCTGGATCATTCAGGGAACCAGGATTTGAGTTTGTAGTCACACTAATGCCAAAAGATCAATTAAATGGCACCACTTTAACCTGTAAAATGCATTTTCTCAACCCAAGATCTATGCTCTTTTGTCTTATATATATACACATATATATCCATCTATCCATATACATATATGTATACGTATACATATACATATATAACATAAAAGACACATGTAACATTTATATATTATATATGTTATATATAATATGTATGTTGTATATCCATATATATATAGGTATACATATATCCATATATCCATATACATATACATATATGTACCATAGGTATATGCACATGTGTACATATACATATACACATATGTACCATAGGTATATGTACATACGTATATATACATATGTGTACCATAGGTATATGTACATATGTATATACACACACATATATGTGCATATGTATAGGTACCTATGTATATACACATATACATATATGTACATATGTATATATACATACGTGTATATGTACCATATGCATATGTAAATATGTATATATACATACACACATATATGTACCATATGTATATGTACATATGTATATATACATACACACATATGTATATATGTACCATATATGTGTACATATGTATATATACACATACACACATATGTATATATGTACCATATGTATATGTACATGTATATATACGGTACATATGTATATATGTACCATATGTATATGTACATAAGTATATATACATATACATGCTCGTATGTATATATGTACATATGGATATATATGTATACATATATGGATATATAACATATATAATATATAAATGTTATATGTGTCATTTATATGTGTTATATATAACACATATATGTTATAACATATATCATATATATATAAACTTTATATGTGTGTGTGTGTATATATATGTAACAATTTTCTTTATCCACTTGTTGATTGATGGGCATTTGGGCTGCTTTCGTATTTTTTCAATTGCAAATTGTGCTGCTACAAACGTGTGTTCATCTATCTTTTTCGTGTAATGACTTCTTTTCTTCTGAATAGATACCCAGGAGTGGGATTGCTGTATCAAATGAGAGGTCTACTTTTAGTTCTTTAAGGAATCTCCATGCTATTTTTCATAGTGGTCGTACTAGTTTACATTCCCACCAACAGTGTATAAGTGTTCCCTTTTCACCACATCCACACCAACATCTTTTTTTTATTAATTTTTTTTATTATGGCCATTCCTGTAGGACTAAGGTGGTATTGCATTGTGGTTTTGATTTGCATTTCTCTGATAAATAGTGATGTTGAGCATTTTTTCATGTTCGTTGGCCATTTGTATATCTTTTTTTGAGAATTATCTATTTATGTCTGTAGCCCACTTTTTAATAGGGTTGTTTGCATTTTTCTTGCTGATTTGTTTGAGTTCCTTGTAGATTCTGGATATTAGTCCTTTTTCTGATATATAGATTGTGAAGATTTTCTCCCACTGTGTGGGTTGTCTGTTTACTCTGCTGATTATTTCTTTTGCTGTGAAGAAGCTTTTTAGTTTCAGTAAGTCCCATGTATGTATCTGTGTTTTTGTTGTGTTTGCTTTAGGGTTCTTGGTCATGAAGTCTTTGACTAAGCCAATGTCTAGAAGGGTTTTTCCAATCTTATCTTCTAGAACCTTTATGATTTCAGGTCTTAGATTTAAGTCTTTGATTCACCTTGAGTTGATTTTTGTATAAAGTGAGAGATGAGGATTCGGTTTCATTTTTCTACATGTGGCTTGCCAATGATCTCAGCACCATTTGTTGAATAGGGTGTCCTTTCCCCACTTTATGTTTTTGTCTGCTTTGTCGAAGATCAGTTAACTATAAGTATTTCGCTTTATTTCTGGGTTCTCTATTCTGTTCCATTGGTCTATATGCCTGTTTTTATATCCATATCATGGTGTTTTAGTGCCTGTGGCCTTATAGTATAGTTTGAAGTCAGGTAATGTAATGCCTCCAGATTTGTTCTTTTTGCTTAGTCTTGCTTTGGTTATGTGGGCTCTTTTTTGGTTCCATATGAATTTGGGGATTGTTTTTTCTAGTTCTGTGAAGAATGATGGCAAGTATTTTGATGGGAATTGCATTGAATTTGTAGATTGATTTTGGCAGTATGATCATTTTTACAATATTGATTCTACCCATCCATGAGCATGGGCTGTGTTTCCATTTATTTGTGTTGTCTATGATTTCTTCCAGCAGTGTTTCATAGTTTTCCCTGTAAAGGTCTTTCACCTCCTTGGTTAAGTATATTCCTAAGTGTGTTACGTTATTTTTCTGCAGCAATTGTGAAAAGGTTAGAGTTCTTGATTTGATTCTCAGCTTGGTCATTTTTGATGTACAGCCATGTTACTGATTTGTGTACATTGATTTTACATCCAGAAACTTTGCTGAATTAATTTACCAGCTCTAGGAGCTTTTTGAGTGAGTCTTTAGGGCTTTCTAGGTATACAATCATGTCATCAGCAAACAGCAACAGTTTGATTTCCTCTTTACCAATTTGGATGCCCTTTATTTCTTTCTCTTGTCTGATTGCTCTGGCTAGTGATATGGACAGGAGGCAGGGAAATACTGGGTAGAAGAGGGTGAGGACCACACCCTCAATCCGGGACCCACAGCCCAAAGTAAGAACATGCATTTTTCCACTCAAACATTGCCTTTTCCAAAATCACCCTGGCCTGCCCTGGCTCCCATCCTGTACCCATTAAAAACCCTAGACCCCACTGGAAGAGAGGCAGAGCAGCAGGGAAGAAGAGAAGAGAAGAAGCAGTCAGTCATTGGAGAGAAGCAGCCTGGCTTCAGAGGGCTGGCTTAATGGTGGGACCTTGGAGAAGAGTTTGGCTGGGGTTGTCGGAACTCCAGGGGAAGATCACCTTTCCACCCCATCTGCTTGCCAGCTCCCCATCCCACTAAGTGGTACTTCTACCACTCAATAAAATCCTCCACATTCGCCACCCTTCAACTTGTTTGTGTGACCTGCTTCTTCCCGGACGCTGGACAAGGACCAAGGTGTAGATGCAAGAGGCTGTCACACTGACCCTCCACTGAGCTGTTTAACACTTAACACAGCAAAGATAAAAGAACAAACCGTAACACATGCCCTTTGTGGCTCCAGGGGTCACAGGCAACCTCTAGATACTGCTGCGGCCCTGCACAAAGTTCTTTTCCTGCTGGTTTTCTAGAAGTGCTCATCCCAGCCTCTGCACCAGCTCACCCGTGTGCTCCCCTCCCAAAAGCAGTTGAGAGCTGCGAACTGAGTAAATGAGCCAACGCCTTTGCAAGTTCCACAAAGGAGTCAAGGGAACTATCCCATTTCATCTGGGTGTTTGTCCAGGATCCCTCAGAAGGGTAAGTATAAACACAGAACTGTTGGATCCGTCTCTTTTGCAAGGCACTGCCACCTCTCTCTCTTCTGGGTGAAAGGAATGTTGGCTCAGTTTCCCTTCACAGAGCTGTAGCTGTCATGTGGGACCACGACAATGTCCTTGGGAACTGAAGGCGTCGGCCAAACCCCCAGATTTTCCTATGTATCTTTCCTTCCTTCTTTCACAGTTTGAAATGGCTTCTATGTCTCCTTTTATAATGTTAAGGGTTTTGCTACAAACTACAGACGTGTTAAGTAGAATGAGCATTTGGCCCAGTAATCAGATATGCAATTCAGAAACAGTGTGACTTTCATCTGTTCTTAGAGGTGCCATCCCCACCCCAACAGCCACAGGTGTGTGTGGCACACAGCAGTTTCCCTCCTCACCCCCTCTGCTACCAGTGGAGGTGCCTGGTGTGTCTGCCACACATGTAAACTGCGCCCAGTGGCCCAGCAGGGCAGGAGTAAGCTGTGCATGCCACCCGGGGCCCCAGGCAATTGTGTAGGCCAGGGCCCCCAGACAGGGGGCTGTGTCTACCGTTCGCTGTCCCCTCCAGCCTGCTGTCCCCTCCAGCTCACTGTCCTCTCCTGCCACACTCTCAAAGAGACTTTCCATTCATGGTTGAGGAGTTCAACTCGGTCTGAGCCGAGCCGACAGGAAGGATACAATGATTAAAGACACCCATTTGCACAGAGCAAGAGGTTTTCCTCC